GGGGTCCCTTCCTCTGTGTGGGGGTGCAGCCCAGCAGCTCCTGCGGGGCTGGGGATCCCCCCAGCGGCGGTCCGGTCCGCGCTGACCAGCGCCAGGGTCAGCGTCCAGCACAGCGCAAACAGGGGGGGCAGCGCCGGCCCCCCCCGTCTCCTCCTGCACGTCATCGCGCCGGAGCGAAGATCTCGGGGTGCGGGTAGTTCCGGGGTACCGGCTGAGCGAGACGGCTGCAGGGGAAGAAAAAAGACAAAACCAGAGAAAAAGACAGACCGCGGAGAGTGTGATGAGGGCACGGGTCCGAGGCACGCCTATTTATACTCCGACAGGCGCCCTGCTGGCCTGCAGCCGGCCCGGTTCGGGCCAATCCGGCACGCGCCCGTCCCCCGCGTTCTCACGCGGACACGGGGACACGGAGACACGGAGCCGAGAGCGGGGAATGATGAATTCATTTAAATCCGCCCGTGTCTTAATTGGGTCACGGAGTGAGGGCGCACCGGCGGGCGAGGTGTACGGGTTCGGGCGGTGAATCACTGCGGCTGTCCAGTGGGGATCGATATTACTCCATTATTAATCAATCAATCAATTAATCATTCAGACCCACAGGCGGGTTGCTCCCTGAGGCTCCCGGGTAGGAACAGGGTTCGGAGACGGAGACGCGCACAGCACCAGAGCCGGTCCGAGCTGCCCGGAGCCGGAAGTCTGCAGCGCGACCCGGCCGGGCTCGGGGTCAATTCAATTGCTGTTTATATAGCGCCTTTCACTACAAGGTCGCCCCGAGACGCTTCACAAAAGCAAGTGACCCTTCATGTCCACCCCGAGCAGTGCCGACCGGCAGACTCGGAGGAGACGAGGGGTCCGAGGGCAGCTGGGCTGGCATGAGGGTGTCAGTACTCCACGCAGATCTCTGGAGTCCACGAGTGCCCCCAGGTCACTCCACAGCCCAGCGGATCGGGGACTCGGAGCCGCGCAGCACACAGCAGCTCTCCGGCGGGGGGCGTTTGTACGCGGGGCGGCGCTGTGCTCGGCATTGCTGGGGGCGGTTGCGTGGGTGCGGCGTGTCCGTGTGGAGTTTGCGTGTTCTGCCCACGTTCGCGTGGGTCTCCTCCAGGGTCTCGTGCAGACATGCCGGTGGGTTAGTGGATTCCCGCGAGACTGGCCCCGTGGGAGTGGGGCTGTGTGTCCTGTGTGTGTCATTTCCCCATCTGGATCGCGTGCTTACAACACGGGTGGATGTCTTGAGCTCTCACGACCATGTCACTGCGAGATTACACGGCAGTGTTCAACATGGCTCCCTGTGTTATTACGAGTTAACAGGACTCTCTCTCTCCGGCGGGGGGCACGCTTAGCCAGCCCAGTCCCAGACCGCCTCGCACCCCGGAACACGCCCCAGGGAACCGGGCTCCGGGACCAGTACAGTACGAGACCAGTACACTGGGCCGGGAGCGGCGGAGCGAGGAACCTCCCGCTCTTCCGGGAGCGCGCAGTCGGACCCGCCCTGCCCCCCGGCAGCTCCGTGCGGCGTCAATGAATAACTTCACAGCAATAAATAACTCGACTTTCAAGCCGGACTCCAACCCCGTCGGCATCCACCCGGAGAGGACACGGGTCCGGAGCCGGTCCAGACACAGACCGTGTCCCACCTGCACTGGGAGACAGTCCCTCCAGAAGAGCAGCGCAGAGGACACGGAGGGAGCCGAGCGGATCTCGGGTCGGGCAGTTGTGCCTCGTGATGGCTGTCCCAGGAGACGCTGTCGGAAACCTCAAGAAGATCAACAGCCTGCAGGGCCTGGAGGAGCGTCTGGAGTTCTACAAGACATGGGCTCCCTACCACGAGAAGGTACTTCAGCTCTCTGAACACTGTCTTACCACACTGCAGTGTCAGTGTGCAGGAGGAGTGTGTGTATTAACCCCTCT